GCCTCATGCTCCCATCCTTCTTCTTGACAAACAACACTGGAGCTCCCCAAGGTGATACACTAGGGCGTATAAACCCTTTCTCAAGGAGTTCCTCCAGTTGGACCTTTAACTCCTTCAATTCTGCAGGAGCCATACGATATGGTGCTTTGGAAACAGGTTCGGTGCCAAGAACAAGGTCAATAGCAAATTCAACCTCTCTATCCGGAGGTAAACCTAGGAGATCCTCCGAAAATACATCCGGAAACTCACGCACCACCGGTATGTCTTCTAGTCTCGATGTCACACTACTAGCATCAGTAACAGAGACTAGGAAGCCCTGGCAACCATTTACAAGATATTTCTGAGCCTACAAGGTAGATACTAACACGGGTAGAGCAAAAGAACCACTGCCTTGAAAACTAAATTCTGGCTCACCAGGAATATTAAAAATTACCCATTTCCGATGACAGTCTATAGAGGCAAAGTGTTTTGACAGCCAATCCATCCCCAAAATAATATCAAAGTCGGAGATATCTAAAACAAACAAACTAGCACTCAACTGTTTACCATCAACATAAATATCCACAGTTCTACACACCTCCCTAGTAGTCATCACCCCTCCTAAAGGAGTGTCCACATGCAGTTCACAATCAGAGGTATCAACAGGCAAGGCTCGTTTCAAAACATAAGATCGAGCAATAAAAGAGTGCAACGCACCCGAATCAAATAAAACATGCGCCTAATCAGAGTTAACAGGCAAGGTACCCGTGATTACGTCGGTAGCCGCAGCTTCCTTGTGAGTCATCACTTGCACTCTCGCCTGCTGGGCTCTTATCCGAACCCCAGTACTCTGTTTCTGCGCTCCCTGACTGGTAGAACTCTGCGGAGAGGTAGGTTGAGTACTCTGGGCTTTGGGGTCTCGCAGTGGACAATTTGCAATCCGGTGTCCCTGCTTGCCATATTTAAAGCAAGCCCCAGTAGTAATGTGGCATTGATCCCGGGTGTGCCCGACCTTCCCACAAGCGTGGCAAGTAAGCTCAGCCGGACGAGCACGTTGGGCCGTTGATGCCTGACTCATTGTCTTGGTGGCTCCTGACCATTTAGATTCCTTGCTGATTTCAGACTTAGGCGGTGCAAGGAAATGGGATCGACGGCTCCCCTCGAATTTCCTCTCCCCAAGGGATGACCCACCACTAGGCTGCCCTGAGGACTTGACTCTAGCCATAGCCTTCTCATGATCTATGGCTCTGTCCGCAGCCTCTCGATAAGTGGCGGGTTTAAATTGGTTCACCGCCAAATAAATGTCAGAATTTAAGCCCCACAAAAATTTGTCGGCCTTGGCTTGCTCATCGCCGACTTGGCTACCCACAAAAGGCAGATAGCGGTCAAACTCCTCCTTGTACTGCTCAACAGTACTTGACCTTTGCTTTAAATCTGCAAATTCTCTTTGCAGTTCTCGCCTTTTGCTATCCGGTATGTACTCCCGCATGAACACCTTCTTAAAACCATCCCAGGTGCTCAATTCAGGCTCTCCCTGGTGTAGCTTCTGATAACTCTCCCACCAAGTTAATGCCTTCCCAGTAAGCATGTAGGTGCCTACATTGACCTTAAGGTCATCAGAAACATGCAGCAGGTAGAATCCCCACTCCACCTCGGTAATCCATGATTCCACCTGCTCAAAACCTGTAGTACCATCGAATCCCTTGTGCATCATCAACTTCTGGAATTCTGTATAAATCTTCCAGCTAGGCACAGCAGGAGCAGAAGAGATAGGAACGGGGGAAACCGGAGCAGGGGCCACAGGAGTAGAGACCATCGGGGATGGAGGTGGTACACTTGTGGCAGGAGATACTTGGCGTCTTATCTCCGCCATAAGTTCCTAAACAAAGCTAGCCACTTGAGGATTGCTCGTCCCTCCCTCCTGCGGAGCAGCTTGGGTGGGGGGACTAGCTTCTGGGATCAGAGGCGTGCCCTGATCCATATGGCTACCCTTCGGGGGGCGTCCACGCCGTTTTGGAGCCATCTATAACCACATAGAAGGTTCATAGATTATTAATCAAATGCTCCAACGAGAAATTTCTCAGGCAAGTTTCCACTTCCGGGACTAAGCAACACAAAAATATCAAAACACAAGAAACCAACACGTATCAGGATAAGAATCACATAAGCGCCTTTAATCAACCCCACTCTCATGCCTCACCACGTTCCTATCATTCCTTTGCTAGCCAAGTTCTAGACTAATCCTA